GCCGTTTTCGGTGCAGACAGAGCTCTCTGAGCAAGCTCTTTCCGGTCTACTTTTCCATTTTCATTGATTGGCATTCGCTCCAGGATAACAACTCGTTCTGGGACCATGTAACCGGGCAGGACTGTCTTCAGTTGGTTGTAGACATCTTTTTCTAGTTGCGCTACAGAACTGTTGTTCACCGTTTCTGAATCGGGGAGAGACATGCTCGCTAGGTAGTCGGCATTGGCTACGGCAAATGCGAACACCTCCTGCTCGGCACCTTGTCCTCGGAGAACAACGGCTGCGTCAAGAATGGCGGCATGGTTCAGGATCGCGTGCTCGATCTCTGGGAGCTCAACTCGGTGACCACGGATCTTGACTTGATGATCTATACGGCCGAAGAACTCGATCTCCCCATCCTGCGGTCGGTAGCGCACTTTATCTCCAGTGCGGTAGGCCTTAACCAGCTGGCCTTCAATCTTGACGTCCACAAAGCGGTTGACATTTAGAGTCGCATCTATGTATCCTCGAGCTACACCATCACCAGTCACGACCAGCTCACCAACCACGCCGGTTGGAACAAGCTGCTGCTTGGCGTCCATTACATAAGCTCCTGAGTTACTGACGGGCTTGCCGATAGGTACACCGTTGACGAATGTCTCAACGTCGCGAACCTTGTAGATCGTACTCAGCATCGCGTTCTCTGTAGGTCCATATGCATTGATAACTCCGCGTTGAACGAGCGATTGCGCTTTGATAGCGTCTCGGCCGTCAAGTCGATCAGCACCAACATACAAATAATCGAGAGCGGCGATACTCGCTGGGAAGCTATCCAGACATTGTTTGACGAGTAAACTCGGCAGCATAGCCACACGGATTTGCTCCTTGGCGAAGGCGTCGGCAAGAGCTTTGCTGTCCAGAATAGTCAAGTAGTCGATGCAGACAAGCGTTCCTCCATTGAGTAGTGGTGCGAATATCTCCCAGATCGATAGATCAAAAGCAATATTCATCAAGTGGGCAACGCGAAACTCTCTTGGGAGCATGTCTCCGACATTGCTACTCTTGACAAGTCGAACAATACCCCGATGCTCAATCATTACACCTTTCGGCTTACCGGTTGAGCCTGAGGTGAAGATGACATACGCGAGACTGGTCGCAGATGGGTGAACAAGCGCATCATTGTGGCTGCTGTGGATGGGGTGTTGCAAAGCGTCCGCGATCGATAGCATCTCGGTGTCGGGGAGGTTATAGCTAGAGACAGAGATGTTTGGGCCAGTGAGAACCAACTTGCGCCCCGGCACAGCTGACAAAATGGTCCCAATACGAGCGGCAGGGACATTAATATCGAGAGGCAGGAACGTCAGACCAGCTTTGAGAATACCGAGGTAGGCTACGATAGTCTGACAGGAACGAGGTGCTATAACGCCGACGAGACTTTCGGGTGCCATCTCTCGCTTGCAGAGCCAGGCGGCTAACATGCTGGACTGACTGTCGAGCTCAGCATATGTAAGTTCACTATAGGAATCCTTGACGGCAATTGTCTCTGGATAAGCAGCCACCTGGTCGCGGAAGACATCAACTACACTTGATTCCCGTGGATATTCTGTCCTTGGAATGTCGAGCAGGCTCAGGTCGCGAAGCTCCGAGCCGTCCGTAAGGGGCAAAGTAGCAATCGGCGACTTTGGCTCTTCGAGACAGCGGCGCAGAATCTCATAGAAGACGGAGAGCATTCCGTTGATTGACTCTGTCTCAAAAAGATCCGTAGCGTATAGCACACTGCCCTTAAAACAATTCTCCTCCTGGAACAAGTGGAATTCCATGTCCAGGCGTGTAGTCGGTGTCAAGGGTACGAGCTCCCCTTCCAGACCCTCCAGACGTAGGCGGCCGAGGTTTCGCTGCGAGTGGACAGCGAACATGAGTTGAACCAGTGGGTTGCGTGAGGTATCGCGGGATCCTGGTAGAAGGGC